GCATTTTCCTCTGAAATATTATAGGTCCATTCCCATTAAATGCCGGTAATAAAAAGCCCAAATCCATTAGATAAGGATAAAATAAACGTCTGTCCTGATGCTTTGATCACTTTGGATTCTGTAGTGACAGATGGACTGCCGTTGGCATGGAGATGGTCCAGTTTGCTCAATTACATAGCGGAGATGGTGGCCCCTGAATCTACCACTAGATCAGAGCTTCTAAAATGAGTCACGGACGTGTGAGTTAGCTTCCTCTGCTCTGTTCCAGTCGGGAACATGGATGCAAAAAGCTGCTGTGAAATAGTCTGAGGCGTTTCTAAATGTGGCGTTCCTTGAGCTAGCTGATCAGCAGTGTGCAGCAGCAGGTGCTGCAGGCTGGCAGTACTGTCATGCTGTTTTTAATGAAAATAACCATAAACTGTGGCGAAACGTGATGTTTTACTTACGGGTTCAAAGGGCTCATAATGCTTGACTCAATTCTGTGCAGAAAATGAGCATTTATACACTGTGCTGCTTTTTCCCCTGGTCGCCTCCTGGGGGGGCTTGGTCAGTACAAGATATGGCCTGCAAACACCACACTACATGTGGAAGCAGAAAATCAAAGCCTCCTTATGAACTTCAGGAGGGAGAGTCGTGCACTTCCCTGGACAACCCGTTTTCCACAATGTGTTGATAGTTGTAATATTTGTGAGCTAGATTCATGGGATGTCTGTAGATTTTTGCATTTGCAAACGCTTACCAGCAGTGGCTGCTACTTGCTCGCCATGTTTTCCGTGCGGATCTGTCAGCGTAGTTAGAAATGTTCCTAGCGTGAAAGCCCAAAATGTCATTTAGATGCGTGGACACGTCAAGCATGAATCGTGCTCAACCCTTTTCCGTTTTGTCTTTCCCTCAGAGAGCTGAAGAAAGCCCAGCAGGCCAGAGCGGCGGCCGAAGAGAAGGTTTTGTCAACAGACAGGATCCTGACCCGCTCCACGCTGCACCAGTCCAACCCCAGAACCTCCAGGCTCATTGGAAAGAAGATGAATCGATCGGTCAGCCTCACCATCTACTGAGACCGTTTCTATGGGAACTGGAACACAGAGACACGGCGCGCCATAAACCGCTGCCGGTTCTGTTGGGACATTCTGCCCAACCTTAACGGAAGACTTAAGCTACACTGAACTTGAAGCTCTCTCAATGGGCCTTTGTGTAGCTCAGCCCTGTTTCCCCTCTTTGGGGGGGAATAAACCTATTTCCTTTAAAGGTAGCTGCCTTACCTTTCCACTTAGTCATTCCTGAAGTGTGCAAAGATGTCACACTCTCTCCTGGATCGCCGCTGCACTTCCCCGGACAACGCCGAAGCCCCGCAGCGGCGGCGGCAGCTCTGCTCAGAGCGAATGCTCCTGCCTTAGCCGTGCGCACCTTACTGCCTGTCACAAGCCTGATGGTCTGAGAACGACGTCGTCTGTTTGTAAAGGAGCACTTTGGAGGCAACCTGTGGTACTTCTGCCTACCACAGCATTTTAAGGAAAAACTGATTGCTGCTATTGATGTTTTGTTTGTTTTAGGGGCTTTACGCAAAGTTTGGATCATTTTTAAGATTATTGGCTCTTATCTGTGAAGCAGCAGGTGTTTTTTTTCATCCACTAAATCCTGTCTTAGGTTTCTGATTGAATCAGGTGATTTGATTAAATCATTCTGTTTGACCTACCCAGACTAGTAATCTGACTTCTTTTTTTTTTAAGTTGTGAATGATCCTCTTTGGTTTAGTTTCTGTTCATGTATGCTGTCAGCCCCTCGTGTAGCATTAGAACAATCATCGTCTCGTCCTTTGGTTGATCATCCGTTCATCTGTTCAAGAGTTTTCTCATCTCCATGTTGTACACCCCCCCCCTTACACAGAAAGCTTTGTGATAACTTGTACATATGTTCTGTAATAAATTGTCATTCATCCTCTCAGTATTTTCTTTATTGTGGAAATGTTATCTGCATTAGGAGCCTTCCAAAGTCTTTTAAAAAAAGTAGCAGTAAAACATTTTCCGTTTAAAAAAAGTTTAATTTTAAAAGGTAAGTTTATTCACATCAGTATAATAAAAACAACTAGGGCTGGATTATATCAACTTTTTTTTTTTTTTACGTTTTATGAACTAGCTTTGATTTCAGTCATCCCGTCAACATGAGTTGCTGGAAAAAAACTGCTTGGTTGCAATGTTTTTTAAAATTGAAATGATCATAAGCAAGTTGAATACTAAAAGCCTTTCATCATGTGATTAACATGACATTTTACAGAAGTCCAGCTATCGACTCACCTGCGATGGCATTTAATCCTTATACAGGAAAGTGGCCATTAGAGATGAATTCATTCACTGCATCAGACTTTGGATACTTAATGGAAAGCTGGACAGACTGTTTCCCCAGACGTACATCAAGTTGCATGTCCCAAAGTATCATACAACCATACAGTGAGGGTTGCACTGCCAACACATGGTCCTAAGATCTGGCATATATATGCAGGAAAAAAAACTATCACCCTTATCATAGTCACCCAAAGGATCTTCTGAGTAGTTTTTTTTTTCATATATTAGTTATAGAAACGAGTGAATGCCGAGGGTATATAAGGACATAAGAGAAGAAACAGAATGGTGAAATGTTGGTGTGTCATAAAAAGAGAAAGATAAAATGACTGAAAAACTACTTAGTCAATATATAAAGGGTTTTTTTTGCTTTCAATCTCCTTTACTGTGAAGTCGAACATTTTTTCGCACTAAATTAAAAATAAAAACAGGTCTTCAATAAAGGCCATGTACATGTTTCCTTAACAGTCGATTGGCTGCTGGGTGGAGTGCTTTCTACAATTCAGATTAATCAAGTAAGCCAGCCTGCCCCAGAGCAGGTTTGCCATTCAGTTGTTAGAAAAGGTAATTATTAAAATTAGCGCACCAGGTGGCTCTGTCCACAAAAAATTAGACATATACAGTAATAAATCTTTGCTATGTAGTAATATTTGAGTAATCAGCAAACAGATGTAAGTTTAATACATAAACCACAGGTTTCTCAGGAGAAATAAGATGAAAGAAAGAAATGGTGGATCCGTCCTCCTGTCTC